CATGGGTCACACCCTTGTCTAAATCCCCGAGTACAGACCTGTAATTTGCTTCTGGTCAGTAGAATAGCCACAGGTATGGGCTAGTCACTCAGCTGGTTCACCGGATTACATCACGCTGTATGAGACGCTGTCTTAGCAGACTGGAGAGGGATACCCTCCTCTGGCCTTGAGGAAGTGAGCCGCCAGACTGTGTGAGGGGCCGTGTGGGTGCTGCGTGGCAAGGTACTGCAGGCCTCCAGGAGCCAAGAGCAGCCCCCGGCCCACTGTCGGCAAGAAAGCAAGACCTCAGTCCTACAATCGGCAGGAGCTGAATTCTGCCAACAACCCCATTTTCTTGGAGGAGGCCCCCCCACTCCCAGGTCTTGAAAGGAACACAGCCCAGGTGACACCTGACCTACAGCCTGGGATACCCTGAGCAGAGGACCCAGCTAAGCCCTCCCAGACTCCAGACCCACAGAAATTGTGAGACTATCAATGCATGCGTTTTAATCTGCTAATTTTGTGGTAATTTGTTACTTGGCAATAGAAAACAAATTCAATTATTTCCTATTTTGTCATGTTGAGTGGAATATGTCAGGTAGCACATGAGGGTCTGGGTGTAAAAGGGAGCAGACACAAACCAGGACCCTTTGCTCTGATTCCCAACTCCAGAAAGTTGAAAGTTCAAAGATCTGGGTTCAAGTTCAGCTCCTGCTGCTAAGCTGTTGTGTGTCCTTGAGCAAGTGTCAGCTGCCTGGTGCTCTTTAGGGTCTTCTAGCTCTGAAACCCGGAGACTCTAGTTTCAAGAGTAAGATCTTAGGGTTAAGGAGGTCACAGTTACTTCCAGATTCTCTCATCTTCAATTCCGTCCGCCCACAGAGCCTTCATTCAAAACCAGAGCACAGGGACTTCCCTGGTGGTGCAGTGGGTAAGACTCCACAGTCCCAATGCAGGAGGCCCGGGTTCGATCCCTGATCAGGGAACTAGATCCCGCATGCCACAACTAAGAAGCCCGCATGCCGCAACTAAAGATCCCGAGTGCCACAACTAAGACCCGACGCAGCCAAAATAAATAAATATATATTTTAAAAAAGAAAGAAGGAAACCAGAGCAGAGGGTAGGGGGAAAAATGCAGAAGTCAGCTTCCCCAAAGACTCGGACACCTGGGGGGCTTTCCTGGGCTCCATCCAGCCTCCCAGCCCCCACTCAAGTTCCCTCTCCTGCCTCAAGCTGGAATGGAAAACCCATCAGGCCTCAAGAGATGGCCTAAGAAACAGCAACCCGTTTTTCAATCCAAATTGTGAAATGCTCTGGGAACAATCTGCTAGCTAAGCAAACCTCTCCCATTTTTCTCCCGTCTGAGCACATTGCTCTGAGCCTGGAGAGAGGACAATGGAAATCGCAGCTCTCCTTCACTCCCACCAAGGAATAATTCACACAGGAATTCACTGAGCCCATGGCTTCTGGGCAGGGCTCTGCCCAGGAGGATGAGAAGCCTATGGCAGGGACGTCCCCAAGACTCCCTGGCTGACCCCATCAGCAACGCGGCAGGGAGGGGTGGAGGCTTGGGGTGCAGCTGTGCAGTCAGGGAGCACCAAAGACCAAGTACTGCCAGGGCCGCCCCAGCTCTCTGAGCCCCATCCACGGTCCATCCATCACTGCCCCACACCCGGACCCGAGTGTATGGCAGGGAGCCACCCAGGACTCCTCGGCCCTGTTTGATCCACTCATACTCTTACCTCTGGCGGGACTACCATGCCCCTGCTCACACCCCACTCAGTCCCGCCCTTGGGATCCATTAACCGCACCCCTAACCAGCCCTGAAAACGAGTGCCCTTGGCATAGAGGGTGGGCCGAAGCCAGGTGACCCCGAATGACCCACCAGAGGCCCACCAAGAGTCATTCAGGCCATTTTTAAGCAAACAGGTTGGTGCTGTGACAGGAACAGCAGCATCTCCAGAAGGGTTAGAGATGACTCTCGGCTGCCACCACTGCCACCTGGGACAACAGAAGTGGGCATGGGTGCGTGGGTGGGCATCCCCCAAGAGAGGTGAGCCCCTTTCCCAGGAAGCCCAGGACCCTCCCTGGGCCTGTCTTCATGCTGTCCATCAGCACTTGCAGGGGATTCTCCCTTACCTCCCCTATCCAGAGCCCTGGGTGGCCCTGAAGTGCGTCCCACGCACAGTGAGGCCACATGGAGTGGTAACCAAGAAGTTATCGGGACTGTGGCTCCCGACCAGGCTGCACCCTGAAGTCAACATCACGTGCCCAGGCTGCACCCTGAAGTCAACATCACGTGCCCAGGCTCCATCCACCCCCAGAAGGCAGAATCATAGGGAAAGGCCCAGCCCCAGCACAGTGTGACCTTGGGCAAGTCATTATGCTCCTGGAGCCTCAGTTTTCTCATCTGTGGAGTGGGGATAATACAGCACCATTCTGCTATGAGATGAAATCACAGAATCTGGTGCTTCCCAACCTCTCTCGACAGAGCACACGGAGAACGTGGAAGCCCACTGAGTAAAGGAACAAGGCTGCTTGCAGGATTCCTCCTGACCCTGAGCCTCACCAGCCACCATAGAGCTGAAAGGGCCCCCACCTCACAGACAGCAGGATGCTGAGGGGCAGCGTGCCGAAGGCCTGATCCCCGACAAGCACCAGACAGGGTTCTGCTGTGTGTAAGCCCCCCACCCAGTGCAGGATTTTCTTGTCTCACCAGGGCGGTCTGGGACAGGGCTGGCACATCACCATTTTTTAACCAGCGCCTTGCACAGTTCTGCAGCAGCGGGTGTGCAGGGCCAGGTTTGGACTTTCCGTTCTAGCTGATCAGAGCCAGCAGGCTCTTCCCCAATGGGGTCACTCACTCCCCCACCCATCCCACCCTTTCCTGCAGCCCACCCACTGCTAGGGTCCTCCCCACCTAATTAGCAGGCAAATCCCGTTCTGGGAGAACTGAATGGGTCCCTTCTGCTCCCCGGGCATCCCTCACAGTGTCCCTTTGTGGCCGGCCATCCTCCTGACCAGGCCAAACTGGGTCCTCAGCTGTTCACTCTCCATGCAATTTTGATTCTGCCTCCTGGCTCCCACCGTCAAAGCCGTGATGGGGCAGTGTGTGGCCTCCCGTGGGGCTGCAGTGTCCTCTGGGAAAGCGGCTGCCCACGGGGGACGCCTGGTGACACACACGGACCTTGGGCTGGCTGGCTGCAGGGCCGTCAGGAGCCACGACTCCACGCTCTGGAGTTGAGAAGCGCAAACAGCCCAGGCCTGGGAGACGGAGTTCCAACCAGTGGGGCCGGCCACAGCTCCTGCCGCCGAGCGCTCCCCACGCCCCCCTCTGCAACCCAGGGATGCAGAGCCCCCCTCCTTGAGGCAGCCCAAAGAAGGCTCCACTGAGGCGCACATCCCTCCAGATGGGGCACAGTCCCTCCCCACCTCAGCAGAGAGCCCTGGTTATAATAAAGGGCAAGCTGGCGGAGCCCCTCCAGAGAGGGCCAGGCTGCGGCAGGGTGGGGCCGGGCTGGGCCAAGCAGCAGGAACAGGCAGGGGCATGGGAGCCAGGGGAGGAAGCTACCACCCCCAGCCCTGGCCTCTAGAACTGGCTGAACCCAGACCCACCTGAGCTCCGCTTACCAAACCAGCCCCAGTCTCTCAGGCTGGAGAACTCAGGGCCACTGTGGTCATGAGGGCGGGGTCTGGAGTTTCAGTTACTTCCACAGCACGGATGGGGCTGTCTGGGCACCAGGCTCCATGGGGGGTGAAGCCTCACCTCCCACCTGAAGACTCTACAAGCTGTCTGGCGTCCCTCGGACTCGGCCTGTGAACTACCAACTTTGCAGGGTTGCTATGGGGATTAATGAACTAAAGCATGAACTGGTCCTCAACTGGGAAGGAAGGATATGATGGCTATCACTATTCACTCATCAAGCTAAGACCCGTGGGAAGAGGCAGGCACCAGACAAGCGAACCCAGGTCAGACCCCAGGCCTTGCGCAAGTGAACTCAGGGTTAGGACCCGGCCCCCAGGGCTGTCCAAGTCCAGGGGTGTCCTCATCTCCTGGGAGCAATGACACCTAAGTGAAATATCAACTCAGGGTCCTGCCCAATGTTCCCCACGGAAACCACTAAAATCCCTCACTCTCCACAGAGCCTTGCAGGTTAATGAGTCTGGGGTGGCTACCGCCCACAGCCCACTACCCTGGCACCTCCATTCCCAGTGCTGGGGCCGATGGGGTCCACAACCAGACCCCAGGAGAAGTGTTCCCAGGGGGGTTCCTTGCGCCACCCAGACCTACAGCAACCATCTGTCAGAGCAGAGTCCTGGGCACCAGGACATTTATGAGGTCTCAGGTAACGCCAGCACCCTCTGAAGTTTTCGAACTCCCAGAGGACAAGGTCAGGGGGCAGAGGAGGAGACAGGCAGGACCAAGGACCCAACACTGCCCCACCAGCACCTTGCTCCCGATTCCTAAATGAGGACACCGAGACTGCAGAGGTTGCAGAACTGGACGAAGGACGCAGGAGCAAGGAGGGGCAGTCGGGGTGGGCCACTCCCTCCCACCTCCCGCCAAGGAAGACTTCAGTTGAGTCCGGCTCTGGGCCCAGGCACTGGCCATGCCCCTGGCACTCATACAACCCAGGGCTGCCAGACCTCGCTGGCGGGCAGGACTGTCAGTATCTCAGTGCCCAGGTGCCAGTGTCATCCAGCCACAGCCAGCTGAGCACCGGGCCCCACATCCTCACACTCGTTGCACAACTCCCCTCCCCCAACCAGGGCGACTACTACTAACCCCACCTCCTCTCCCCCCCTCCCCCTCCTTCCACTCCTCTCCCCGCCCTCCAGTCCAAAGCCCCTGTCCTTGCAGGACCTCAAGCTGCAAATCCCTCGGAGGCCACGGCAGCCGTCCAAGGAGCTTCCAAGAGGTCCCGGGAGGCCCTTCCCACGGGGTCAGAGCGCCCCCTGCCCCCTTCCGGGTGGACTCACAGGCGACCATCACTTGTCAGGTTGGCCACGAGACTAAAACTCACCATCCCGGAGCGGTGGTTGATTCTCCCGCTGCCCTGCACAGTGAACTGAAAGGGGCTCCAGAGGGGGGCAGCGGACGGCGCCTGGGCTCTCAGAGGGTGCAAGCGATACACAGACCCCCTTGTAGGCGACAGAGGTCGAACCGGGGCCCCACGCAGCAGCGCCCGTCTCTGCGGGGAGTGGCCGTGGGAGATCTGTGTCTACAGTTCCGATTTTCCTACCAGGAGCCCATTTAATAATGAAACAACTTTTGCAAAAGTACACTGCATTCGGCGCGCGGTTGCGAGGCTCGGGACCAGGCCCCGCCCCGCCCCGCCCCGCCTCGGCCGTCTGCGCCCCCCGGCCCCTGCGCACGCGCGGCGCCCCGCTCTTGCGGGACCAAAGCTTTTCGGACAGCGCCCCCTGCCGTCCTGAGGCGCCCAGCTCCTGCGAGCGGCTGCCGCCAAACCCGACTCCTAGTTACTCCTGGTTAAGCTGAGTTGCCCTGGAGGGGCTCGATCTCGGAGGCGAGGGGACGGCTCTTTCCTCCACCCAGAGCCTGAAGCCCCTTGTCCGCGACCGAGGAACTGACTTTGGGGGAAACTAAGTCACTAGAGGATATAGGGAATGCACAAAACTAGGTGGCTGTCTTGGGCCGTCCCCGTTTGAAATCTAATTCCTGGGGTCACAGATCCCGGCTCCACTGTGGGTTCACGAGGCGTGCTGAGGGACCACCTGAATCGTGTGCTCAATGGCTGGGGGTTCAGGCCAGCAGGATCAGTCCCAGGGCCCACCTCCAGACACCAACTCAGCCAGGACCACTCTTTAAGAAATATTGCCTTAATTTGACCCCCTCATTTCATAAAGGACAGGCAGTGACTTGCCTAAGATCACACAGCTCCTCAGAGGGAAGTGCAAAACGGAAGCTCTGGCAGCATGTCTACCACCCCACCTCCATCCCACAGTTAGAGAAACCAGGAGGCTGTCACCAGGTTCAGTCCCAGCTCTGCTACCACTGTGTGGACTGTAGCAAGTCCCTTCCCCTCTCCAAGTCTCCCAGGTCTGTGTTCTAGCATGAGATGATGGGCAGTGGCCGTCCCCTCCATAATTCTAGAATTCCTGGAGCAGAGGCAGACCCTCACCCAGGTTTGAGCTCCTAGGTCACCATGTGAGGTCCTGCAGCTTTGTGTGCTCTTTGCGTATGTATTTTTAAATTACTCCCAAGAGTAATTACTTCCAGATCATTAATAAGTACATGGCTCCGCCCTCGGGAACCACCAAATTTAAGTGCTTTGTGATAAAAAGGAAGGCAGAAGAAATTGAGGACTGGCAGAACTTAGTAGCATCCTCCACTTTCTATCTCAGAGAGGAATATGCACCCCGATGGCCTAGGGGAAGGCCACCAAGATCAGAAGGGGCCCAGGCCCTCCACGGCCCATGTATGCAGGAGCCAGAGTCATAAACAGTCCAGTGGAACAGGATGCTCTGAGCCAGGTTCTGCCTTACTCCCATTTATCTTTAGCTACCATCTGCTCTGCACTTAAGTATTGTGATACAAATTATAAAAACCGTATTAGCTCAGATATTTCATTAACGACTTGAGTGACTGGACCAATGCATCGAGGGAGAAATCTCGTTTCCAAGGCAATCAAAACAAAGGCTGGGGAGCTAATAAACTCCTCTAAGCTATTGTACATGCAGGGAACAGTAGAGTAAATCCTGAAGTACATTTTAAAGAGTTTTTCCTAAAAGGACTAAGCTTCTTTCGTGTATCTATTATTCATTTGAACGGCTCCTGCTTGTACTTTTCAGAATCCATCCCCCAAGTCAGAAACAAATTGAAATGCTTTTACACACACCTAGGGCCCCTCAGCCATGCTCCTGAGCCAAGTGGAGGAGCTGTCCCCTGTGCCCCCAGCCGCTGGAGCACGTGGACTACCTCTTGCCTCCCTGCAGAAGCCTGGTCCAGCCCACCCAGGGCTCCAGGGCTCCACCGCTTACTATTCCAATGACCCAAGACAAGTTTGTCTCTCTAAGCCTTGGTTTCCTCGTCCGTAAAATAATGGGGATATTAGTACCTGTGATGAAACCTAACACATTTGGAATAGCACCTAGCACATACTGTTTAATGCTATTTCTTGGAACCACTGCCTCTCCTCTGGGGCTAGCCACGTAGTATATAATATTTTTCAAATAAATGTACTCGTAATAGGGAAGAACAAATCTGACCCCATACTGGATCTGTTTCTTTAAATTTTGCATTCTATTGCTTTTGCTGCAAGTGAAGAATGTTACCTATATCCTGAGATAGACAGGATAGCTCACTGTCAAGGCTCTGACCTTTAAAAGTATATAACGCTTTCAATCACATAGAGATAAAAAGTTGCAGAATGGAGAATAACGTTTTTCTTGTTAGAGGTTTACAGGAACATCGTGACCTGACCTACATGGACAGCTGCAAGAACAAAGGATTCCGACACCAAGAAGTTTGCAGCAACCAGCCACGCCCCCTCCCCTTCTAGTATAAAAGAAGGCTGAACTCTAGCTTCTTTTATACGGAAAGGGAAGGGGCTGTGGTGAGATGCTTCTTTGGGACGCTAATCCACAATCTTCTCTGTCTGCTGGCTTTCCAAATAAAGTCGCTATTCCCTGCCCCATCAATTCCTCTCTCCATTTATTGGCCTGTTGTGCAACGAGCAACACAAGCTTGGACTCGGTAACATACTGACTAAAAAGCCCCATGAGGTCAAGGACCATGTCCCTCTCTTTCACCAGTAGACCCTAGTGCAAGCCCAGTGCATGGAATGGTAGGTTTAGTGAATGACACACTGCTTTACAGTCAATATCCACTCGTGCATCCACATTCAATGTCCACTTTGCAAAGGCTGCACACCAGACTCCCCTAGGGAGCATTTAATATACTGAGATTCTGATGGAATTTATTTGAGGTGAGACCTGGACATTGATATTAATTTTTAAGCTCTCCAGGTGACCCTGATAGGCAGCCAGTGTGAGAAACAAATCTAAACCTACAAGTGGTTCCCACGTGGTGTGTCCCCTTCCTGTCAGGAGGAAGCCGGGATCTTTAAATTCCTAGTGCCTGAAACACACTGTAATTTCACCTTTGTAATTCCTCCTCATGTATTATCCTGGGTAAATCAGACATCTTGACCCAACCTCAGTTTTCTTAGGTGTGCCATGATTCATTTAGATGAGGTGTCCGAGATGGTCAGAATCCAAAGAACAAGTCATCACTGGAGTTTGTTATGAGCTGAATTATGTCGCCCTCCCACACGCTTACGGTGAAGAACTAACCCCCAGAACCTCAGGATGTGACTGCATTTGGAGATCAGGTCTTTAAATTGATAATGAAGCTAAAATGAGGTCGTTAGGGTGGGCCCTAATCCAATATGACTGGTGTCCTTATAAGAGGTTAGGACACAGACACACAGATCATGGGAGAGGTCTCAGAAGAAACCAACTCTGCAGTCACCCTGATCTCAGAATTCTAGCCTCCAGAATTGTGAGAAGATAAACTTCTGTCATTAAAGACACCCAGTCTGTGGTGCTTTGTTATGGCAGCCCTAGCAAATTAACACAGGGTTTGTGTGTATATACAAAAGAGCTCCTGGATTATTTCCTTGGATGACTCTAACCCAGGGCCTGTATCTGGGCATCCCGTTCTCACTGTGGGTCCTCTACTTTGGGCCACTCTTCTCCTTCAGGGCCCAGCCACTCCCGTCTCCCCTCCTCTGGCTGTCACCCTTCCAGAGGTCCTCCCCCACCTGAATTTGTGTGCTGGGGCCCCCTGCTAATGATCATATGCCATAAGGTAGCATCTGCACCACAAAGGTGAGCATCTCATTCACTGATCTAGAGCTCTGCCAGGTGCTGTGCCAGGGCTTTGCCTACACCATCTTGGTCCTCAGACCTCTCCTGAAAGGTGGGTATTATCCCACCTCCTCAAATGAGGAGTGAGGCTCTAAGATGTGGCAATAGCTCTGACATTCCACACCAGGTCCAATTCCAAAGCCTCTACCTCCTCCCTGCCTCCCCACCACCCAGGCTCCCCTGCTTCATCCCCAGGGGGACTCAGAAGAGTGAGGGCCTTCCTGCCTTGTTCGCTGTCCACACACCCACAGCCCCAAACATGGCTGGCAGACCAGTAAGCATGGGCTTCCCTGGTGGCGCTGTGGTTAAGAATCCACCTGCCAATGCAGGCGACACAGGTTCGAGCCCTGGTCCAGGAAGATCCCACATGCCACGGAACAACTAAGCCCCTGCGCCACAACTACTGAGCCTGTGTTCTAGAGCCCGCGTGCCACAACTACTGAAGCCCGCGCGCCTAGAGCCTGTGCTCCGCAACAAGAGAAGCCACCACAATGAGAAGCCCGCGCAACACAAGGAAGAGTAGCCCCCACTCGCCGCAACTAGAGAAAGACCCCGCACGGCCACAAAGACCCAACACAGCCAAAAATAAATAAGTAAAATAAATAAATTTTTTAAAAAAACAGTAAGCATACACTGGGTGAGCAGCTGTGCAGCTGGTGGGCTTTCCTAACTCACTTGGGATCATCCTACTTCCCCACTTCACTCCCTCCCCTCAGGTATCCCATTGCTGACCAATTAAAGCCCCAGCTGCTTGCCCAGGATTCCAGACTCTCCAACACCCTCAGCCACCTTATTGCACCCCAGGTTCTAACTATGCTTTCCTACAGGGCCTTCCTCAAACCATTAAGGCCCTCAAAGAATTTAGCAGGAAGCTTGTTGATTTGTTAAATTCACCTGCCTTGAGGCCTTCTCTGATGGGTGAGAATTGCTGAATGCAAATTAAACGTACCTCCTGGGGCTTCTCTGGTGGCGCAGTGGTTGAGAGTCCGCCTGCCGATGCAGGGGACACGGGTTGGGGACACGGGTTCGTGCCCTGGTCCGGGAAGATCCCACGTGCCGCGGAGCGGCTGGGCCCATGAGCCATGGCCGCTGGGCCTGCGCGTCCGGAGCCTGTGCTCCACAGCGGGAGAGGCTGCAACAGTGAGAGGCCCGTGTACCGCAAAACAAAAAAACCACAAAAACTTACTCCTGATAATGATGTTGTGCCTTAAGGCAGCATCAGCACCTGCGTCTACTGGGAGCTTACAGGAGAGGCGGAATCTCCCGTCACCCACACACACTGAATCAGAATCTGCATTTGGGTGAGATTCCTAAGACAGGTTCTCAGGCCTGAGTGCACACCAGAATCACCTGGGGAGCTTAAAGTTACTGATGCCTGGTGACACCCCAGAGATTCCGGTCCGGAGTAAGGCCTGAGAAAGCCCT